GCTCCCCACCTCTAAACCCACGTTTCCTGTCATTTCCGTCCACAGATAAAACGCTTGCTGCGCATCTTTTCACTCCTCCAGTCACGGGAGGATTAAACGTTCATATTTTTAGAGTTTTTTTCGCGAGGTATTCTTCAAGCTTCTCCGTGTCTGCCGCTAGTTAAACTCGGCTCTCTGCAATGGCGGCACTGTAAACAACAGCGGCGTCCTGACCAATCACAAGCTTGCGTAATCCGTCTCGTTCGACGGATGTTTAAAAAAGTGGGCTCGACTCCGTACGTACTTGCGTGCCTGTCGGAGCCCTACGCAAGGACGGATAATGGCGTTGCATGTCTCCGCACTGGCGCAGACGGAGAAGCATAAATCAGGCTTCAGTCTTGCTCAGTCAGTAAATTCCCGCCCACTAAACTTATAGAGAGCTGTGATTGGCAAGACACAAAGCTGTTCAGGCCTTCTATAACTGTGGCTAGAGCAACCTGCAGAGCAGTCCTTTTGCTTCTGTTACGGTCTGTCTAGATTTTGAAGCAGTCTAAATATTACACAAAAGCTTGAATCTTCGAAAGTGGAATATTTCCAGAAATAAAGTCATGGGTTAAGACTTTTGCGCAATACTGTTTATCACCCCATGGAATGCATTAATGTGAAAAGTTAAAAACAACAACAAAGACATTTGCATTTGCAAAGTTTGATTTTAACCTTTAATATTCCTGCTGATGGTTTTTGAGAAGCACAGAAAATCTGCTGTAAAATGCATTACGGTTAACAGTTCCTTCTTTGTGTGTAAAATCTTGTCAGTTATAGATGATGCATTATGCAAAACTCCCTTTATGTATCTTTTTGTGCTGCATTGAGTCTCTACTGGCCCTATAAACACAACAAAGAAGAAAAAAACCTGGTACATTATTTTTCTTTCAGTGTTTGGTTCTGGGAATTATGTGCCTAAAACAAGCAGTTTCAGAAAGTCCCCGTTTGTGATGTCAGAGACAAGAAATTTTGATTAGAACCACTTCTCACATGCAAGAGAGAGCTGCTGGATGAGCAGTCGTTCTACTCCGAGCTTCTCAGCTTATAACAGCCAGTCTGGTGATAAGTAGGCATGGTTAGCAACAGCATTTTAAAAAGTGACAGAGCCCTGAAATGGCTCATTCTGGAAGGTACTGAAAATAACTACAGTAAAACTGCTGAAACCACTTTATGTGAGGGATTTTGTGCAAAAAATATCATAAACACATTTTTTATCTACCATAACATTGTAAATGTTCCCTCTATAAATTTTATTTTACTACTCTGGAAATAATGCAGCAGTGAAGAGATTCTACACATATTGCCACACGTGTTTTGAGAAGTAAAGATTTTGCACAACTAATTCTAATAAGTTTCTTTTTTTCAAGTGCAAGGGAAGAATTGGTCAACCATTATTACTTCTAAGTGTTCTTTAGACATTACACTCACAACAGAAGAACGATGGAAGAGGGTTGACCATAACACGTCAAAGGACACAAGTTGGTTCTGAATAACTTATTTTTTTAAAATGCACTAAAAAGCATCATGGCAAATGGCTGATGAACTTGGTCAAGTGTTGATCCATCTAAACTTCCTCCAGATAAACAGCTTAAGAAGCCCATCATCAAGGAGCTTGAAAGAGCGACTGCCACCATTTGATTTGAAAGCTTCTCCTAATGGGACGTATTCTGGGATTTGTCAGCCTTAAGATGACTGAAATCCTCCTGGCCTGAGTACCAGTTTCCTCTGGCTGCTGCTGAAACTGCCAATCTGATCATTTAAAATCCTACTTTTTTCTACATTTTTTGAAGTCTTGTGTGGGAGGAATCAGGTTTCAGAGTAACATACGCCGAAGGAAAGGAAGAATGAGACAAGGATGGAAGGGCAGAGAGGAGGAGAGGGACATAAAGAGCAACTGTTTATACGAGAAGGTCTGATGAGCAATGAGCGCCTCACTCCTCTTCAATTAATCTTGTCTCTCAACCTTTTGGTTTGGTGCTTCCTTTGAAACCAAGGTGATAATGACACCCTCATCCATTACCCTTTTATCCCTGTTATTCAGAGGGAATTGCCTAATAACATGTTACAGATTCGTCCTCTTTCACATAATTCTTTCTGTCATTTGCAGTATATCATTTGGAAAACACACAGCGCCCTTTCTGTTGGACACGGTTTGAGGATTATCGTGGGTGACACCTTCGCGATGCAGCCAGAATCTGGAACATTTTTTTAGGCATATAGTAGAATTACCCTGACTTATCTGTCATTGCCAAAAGCACAACAAGCCAGTCAGAGCCAAAGGAAAGGTGGAACAGGTTCTTATCGGCTTCTCTGAACGAGAGGGTTAGCAAATTTATGCTAATGAGATCCTTTTGTTATCCAGGCGCAGCCCCTGTAGGCTGAGCAGGGTTTGAACTGGATGATAATCTGGCTGTTGAGAGCACTAGATAATTTGTACTTTATCCTTGTGTAGTTATATAGTTGCAGTCATTTAACCAGTACTAATCCTACCACACAAGGAACAGTCTGAATGGAGCCTGTGGTTCTTAGCAGCACGAGCTTGCACCCATCTGACTCGCACATAAAACTCACTAAAGAGGATTGCAGCACAGCCATAATCATGCTGATAACTTGATCATTTATTCTCAGAATCTTTTAGATCTGCATTTGCTGACGGCCAAACACCAGAAAGTGTGAGAAAACGCAGTAAAGTTATAAGGTTTTTAGCATGGCAATAACTGACTTTAGCAAACAAGACTTTTATTGTCTCAGGACATATTAAAGAAACAATCAAATGGACTAAAAAAGATACAAGACGAATGTTTTTATGGTGGTGGTGGTGGTGGTGGTGGTGGTGGTGGTGGCGGTGGTGGTTCTGTGCTTTCCGGTGGGACTCCAGGCCGTCTAGCATGCCTGCCAAACGCAACAGCCCCTCACAAGCTGCTTGGCGTGCTGTAATTTGACTAATTATACTGGATTATAGCATATTAATGCAAGCTGTTTTCTCTAGGGTCACTGACCCACCCAGTGGGCCAGTGGGCCTCATATTGGGGTCCTAGTATCAAATGTTAACAAAGGATTTACAAACAGAAAAAAAAGAGAAAGAAATGCATCAAAAACCGCAGATTTTTGTCCACCACCAAAATGCAACATGAATGAAGTTATACAACATTGTAACGGAACGGAATGACAGGTTTTTTCCCCTTCTTTGCTCAAGACTAGTCTGCATGAGATATGGTCTCAATGTCTAATGCATTCCTTCTAACCTGCTTATTTTCAGCTCAACAGAAGAATGAAGAATGAACTCTTTTCTTTTAATTAATCAAAGAAATCTATTTTAATAAAGCTAATCCATCAAAGTGTTAGTCAATAAATAAGATGTGACCAATCTGTGAAATCAAAATATTAATTACTTTATTATAATCCTATAGAATATAAAGGTACTCTGACTTTAAGTGTTCCAACAGGACTCATTTCACGTAGCGTTAAAAAGACATAACACATTACTTTCACTGATCCACTCAGAATCTGACCGATCTGACGGAGGTGTGGTTTTGATGGTGTTTGGTAATTTTTCATTCGACAATAAACCATAACATCCGAAGTATAAAACTATGCCACGTCATCTCTAACGCCAGTTCAAAGCGTTCCAGAGAAAGTGACGGAGTGGCCAATCCTGATCTAAAACTCTTCAACCGAAAGAACCAAAGACGAGCTGAAAATTTTGTCGCTATGCCAACTGCGGCAACAGTTCCTTTCAGAAAAAAAGCTGAACCATCAAGACCCAGGCTTGGGTCTCACCACACACCAACAAATTGCTGTGACCGGACGTATCCCAGGACGGGTGGTCGGTTGCCGTGGCTTCTTCTACATGCTCCGGCTCCATAAGGTCAAGCTCGACCTTTACACCTCCTGATCTAGACGGGGACTTCCGCTCAGGGTATGTAGACCGGCAAATGGTGTCTCATGTGTTTATGGACCTCCTAACCAAAGCTTAATGCGATGACAACACCTTCAGTTCCCGTCAGAACTAATCGCTTCTTCGGATTTGCTGGTTCTGATCAACATCACACGCCATCCATCCACCGTCTCATCCACTTTAGTTACACTATACATTTCATTTTAAAGTCAGTCTAGTTTAATTTGTTAGTAAAAAAATTCTTAACTTTTAAACTTGACTCTCTTCTGTTGTCTCTGAGTGAATACGGAGCGGTTATCTAATCACTGCAATAAAAAGTTCCAATCTTCTGGTTTAAATAACTCACAGATCCATAAGGTGGATTTCATATTTCCTATGGAATCCCACGCCTTATGGCTCATTAAATAACATGTAATCTAATTCATTACAACATATACGAAATTATTACAAATATAGGCAGTTCTAAAGAAGGTCCATGGTGGGCCAGAGCCACCCTGACAGCAAGCTTGGTCCCCCCCGTGCCCCCCCCCCCCCCCCCCTCAACTGCAGTGGGTGGAGCCTAACCATTAATAAGTATTGATTTGTAATAATTTAGCCTAATACAGAACCAAAGGAAGTTAATTAAATCATCATCAAGTTGAAAAGAGATGCTGGTACAAAAACGTTATAAGATAAATAAATCAGATGTAATAAATAAAGAAAATTCAACAACTTATTTACATTTTACAACTTATTGAAAAGTTGTTTCTAATTTAACTGTAACTGAATTGTTATAATACTGTTGTAGTTACACACTAAAGTTTAAAGGAGACATAACCCACTTTTTTATCCATTAACACGGTGTGTTTCACATTTTAAGTGTCTAAGTGAGCAAAAAGGCTTATATTATTCACTGGAGTTGCTATTTAGATATTTAATAATTAAGTTTTGGGCATATTTGTCCACCCATTCACTTTTTACATTATCTGTTACATCAGTAATTAATTTAGTGAGGATAACTACCAAATATGGTAATGGCCCTCGGCTAAACACAGAGCCAATCCGCCATTTTTTCTTCTTGCTAAGATTTTTTGTAGTCCTATTGGAAAAATGCAGAATGTCTGGTTATTTTAGCCACACACAGCTCAAAACTGTTCCTCGTTTTAAGGAAGGGTGGTGTGGCAGTATTTAAACCCAGGAGCTGATGACACTACTGCTAAAAAAACACAGAAGAAAAAGTAGTGTGTTTGCGTTTGTTTGTGTGTGTGTGTGTGTGTGTGTGTGTGTGTGTGTGTGTGTGTGTGTGTGTGTGTGTGTGTGTGCGTGCGTGCGCGCGTGGTTCGTTCGTTCTGTCTCCAGGCTAGTGGCTAAGTACTGAGGGCTTCATCTATCTAAAAGGAGTTATTTCCATCTGAATTTGGCAGCACCGGGACACAGCAGCAGAGCGGTAAGCTTCATATCACTCTAAAATGTCGACAAACTTTACTTTACGGGCATTAGCAGCACTAAAGCGTTAGCATCCGGCTTGCTATCGCTAGCACAGTATGCTAGTAAAGTTAGCACCCAGATTAATGTGGATTTGGCTGATTTTCGTGGAATAAAACGTGATTTCTGATCAACGCCTTCTTTTACACCAGATGATAACCTCCCACTGATTGTAACAGCAGAGAGCCTGTGTGTTATTCTACGTGAGTGTGATAAAATCTCAGCATCCAGTAAATAAAGTCCCATATCAGCTAAAATGCAGCGTGACAGTCATTAAAGTACGTCAACACAGTGGATTTAATAGAGTTTTAAAGAACGATCTCTGAGTGGAGTGAGGTTAGTTTTTTGTCTCACTGCAGATATAAAAACTAACTCTGCATCAGTCAGACGCAGCAAAGCTCACCGTCTGTATGAGCGTGAGCGTCGGAAAGCTGATAAAATCGGCTGTAAAATAATTAAAACAAAGTAAAAATGTTCCTTTGCTTTTTAGAGTCCACATCCAGAAGACTGGAGCCGTGTTTCACTGACAGGCTGTCAGACTAAAGCCCTGATGAGCTCAGCTGGGACAAACTGGTCTGATGTTTAGGTAAGTGAAGATCTGCTTCTCCAAGTCCTTGAGATGCTAGTAAAAAATAATTTAGCCAGCTTGCTAATGTTACTTTTCTTCTCCTCTAAGGAACACAGAACGTTCAGATGTTGGCGTTTCACGTCACCTACTGAGGAAGGAGACCCACCAGTAAAGAGATGGTAGCTGGACCAGACCAAAGTGAGTGATGACACACCTCAGCCACCCTCATCATTAAGAACACCTCACCCCCTGAATCACTCCGTCTGATGACAGCAGAGTGATTTATTTGATGTTTTACTTGTTTAGTCTGTTTAGAAATTATTGAATTACATTATTTTCTGTAATCGACCATCTGATCTGGATGTGTGCAGAATAACTTTCCCCAAATTCAGCAGCAGCTGGCCTACAAAAACAGCTGCAGCATGTAGTAAGTCTGTCTGCACTGCTCTCTAATGAGCTTCCTTTCATAAGGAGTCATTTGTATAATTTTAGTGTCACTATTTTATTACATTTGTAAGAATATGAAGTCACTGTAGCAAAGTGAACTTGTGAACAAACACAAACGTGACTATAAACATGAAAGCTAAAGAAACAACTTTCCTAAAGCTGCTTGTAAACAAAATATGTCATTAAAGTTATTGTCTATCATTGCAGAATATGACGATGACATCATGGAACTGGTCTTTGGAAAAGTTTTCCCTGAACCAACTCCGTTTCTAGATGAGGTAGAGAAGATCTGCATCTCACCAACCCTCTGGTCTCAGTATTCAGACAACGGAGGTCTCCCACTGTTATCCAGGACCAGTTTGAAGCCCACATACTTCCCCTCCCTCATCATCAGGAAACATCAATCCGTTTCCTGAGGACAACAGAAGACGGCAGGAGGACAGGAACTCTGAGACCTAGACACCACCAGCACCGAGACACAAAGCACCTGTGTGCACAACGCCTGTTTTAACTACTAAAGCCTGTTTATTATATTGTTCTACTTATTTGCTGTTAGGTTAATACTTAGAAAATTTGTATATTAATGTAAACAATAAAAAAAATCACTGATTGTATGCTTTCTTTTAGATGTAATGGTCCAAACTCAGCCTTGTAGACATTTATTGCATCCTGTAGGTAAATACACAGAACAGGCTCAGGTCCAGGATGACCCAGCATGCTCTTCTTCCATTCTGGCTGTTAGGGATTGTATCAATAACTCAATGCCTACTGATGTTTTCACCTAACGGTATTTATTTAGAATGCAGGTAAGATTTAACTATATTTGTTAGCAAAGCAGACTGATCTTGGGAATTTCACTGCAGCACTGATGTCCACCTCTCTGTACACATTAGAGAGAATTACCACTTTACAGCTAAACACATTTAATAAAGATATAGGCTACGCATTGCAGACAATAAAAACAAAGTTGTAAGCATTAGAATTATAATGACATTAAAGAACACTTGGAGGAATGTTCTTTATTTTTGACTAGAATCTCAAATCTTTAAATTAAAATGTAACTGCTTTTTATCCATTTTCAGCCATTAAGACACCCAATATAAAATAAGACTACTTATAAAATTATTTATAATTATATGTATGTATATAGATAGAGATCTTAATAAAATATATTCTTTGAATGGTGTTTTAATGAGCTGTATCATTTTTTTAAACATTTTTTTACAGAAATAAGCAAGCAGCATTCCTTGTGTGTGTGTGTGTGTGTGTGTGCGCGCGCGCGTGCCTGCTCGCTTGTCCCTCCATCGGCCGTGACGGGTGTGTGTGAGTGACTACAGACAAATGCATGAGAGAGTTAGCAGCCATGAAACAGCTTGATGAACTACTCTCCCCACGTGTTTTAAAAATGCTAATCTGCTATGCTAAATAATGATTTCTCTATAGAACTACAAAGTCCGACTGGGGGAGGAGAGTACAGGTCTGCACTATGGAGGGGGGGCGGAGTTTACAGCTCCTCCTCCAGTTTAAAGAGACAGTACCCCAAAACGGCTCGTTCTCAAGACTCTCCTCAGAACAGGGGTAGATGAGGGTCTGTAGAGCAACAATAATGAGGAAATCAGACCAAAGAACTGCAGTTCCACTGTTTTTAGACCCCCAACTGAAGGATTTAGATGTAAAAAGGAATAACTTAAAAGCATGTTATGTCTCCTTTAAAATACTTAAAGGCAATGTTGGTAACGTTTTCTTACAAATGTGCCTCTCCAACAGAGCAGCAGCTCACTTCTAGTTCCTGCACCGGAGCTTTATGTCCCCAGAGTACAACTTACAAAGCATCCATTCCTACTAGAGACCAATGCAAATGTACGATTACAATTAATCTTTCAAAAATTGGGGAAAAAGGGAAAACCAAGGAGGAATTTAGCAAAATTTTTATTATTTGACTTGTTGGTTGGTTACATAAACAAACTCATTTGTTCTAAGGCAATACAATTAATTCACCATCATTTGGAATTGTTAGAAATCCAAAATTAAAGAGGGGATATGAACCATAGCATATGTGTGTTTTAACACAAAGTACGCTCCCATTTGCCCCAAATCAATTTGAAAGTCAAACAACAGAGACTGCCTCAGTGTTTGTGTGCATTCCTCTGCCTGGAACACAGAGAAATAATAGTCTTAAACCAGACATTATAAAGACAGAATACCAGAGAGGCTTACTGCATTAGTTTCATGAAACATTTAGGCAAAAGTTCCAAAGGCTGAGGATGATGAAAGAAGTTAAGCCTGAAAATGGGCTTCTGAGATCCAGAGGCCTTTATTATACAGAAGTCACATCAAATTAATACTGAGGGCCATTTGCAGTCTTTCTTCTCTTGAGCTTTTCAGAACGGATTAAGCTATGAAAACTCAGAAAATACTAAAGCACCTATTAGGCATTATGCTCACCCTTTTCTTCTTTTCCTCTTTGAAAATCATTGAACATACGTCACTTCACATTCACCATGATGCACAAGTTCTCTTTAAGCTTGAAAGAGTGGCAGTTTATGAAATATGTCGTGCAAAATGTATTTTTCCACTTGCTAAAAAGAAATCCAGCCGGAAAGTGAAAATATTGACTCACATTTAATTTCTGTAAAGTTTCAACTCTTTTTTTCTGTTTCTGTTGTGATATCTTAAAGTGGTGGCTTGCTGACACATCAGTAAAGGTCCCCTATTGGCAGGGTTGTATTTCCTCTCTCAATGCCTCTTCAAAGAAAAGATGCAGGGGGTGCATGCGCTGCATTTATGGCTCCTAACAGGATTCAAGAGCGCCAAAATGATGGCACTTGAGAACCAGGTCGTGTGGAGTTAAATGGCTGTCGGATGCTCAAAGCAGAGCACCATGTGAACAAACATAGAGGCTTCTCAAGTCTGGAGCCTTTCTAGCTCGTGTTTGTGTACATTCAAGAGCTTTCCAGACATGAGATGATTGTTACCACCTGAGAAACTAATGAGGACTATTTCTGATTATTTAGGAAGCTGGTCATCTGACCCCCCCGAGCCTTTGAAATGACTCACCAGGGCAGAAGACCCCTCAACCCCTTTAGGAGATTCAACCTTGTCCTTTTGTCAATTCTAACTCTTAAAGAGCCCAAACTGCAGCGTGAAGCCCCCATGCACAACCCATACTAAACCCTTAATTGGATTGAGAGCTACCAATAAAATAACAAAACAACAACCAAAAAACTATTTTTCTTTCACTAAGATTTTCCTTTCAAACATTCCTTCCAGTAGTTTGCCTCCCCAACAATAACACTTATGTCACTGAATAGCTTTTTTTAAACACACCCACATTTTTCAAAGATGGGACTGCGGGCAAACCCTTTCTCACCTTTTCATTTGGGGGGGAAAGCACTATTTGATTTTCACAGGGTGCTTGTGACAGGCCGGAACAAAGCGCAACACTGCCCATTGTCCAGCCTTTCACTGTCGTAATGGTCTTAAAGTGGCTACAAGCAGGGCTCTATTCAGTGGTGACCAGGCTGCTCCGTTCTCTTCTTTTCGAAGACAAACCGAGCTCCAGGCGGGAACTCGGAGCTCAGAGGACGAGTGGATGAAGGATTGAGTTCACTCATGACCAAGGGCCTATAGACTGTTAGTGGCTATAGAAGTCCCCAGCACATTTACACTCATTATAGAGAATAAATAGTTCCATAGCAACAACATTAATCAAGTTAATTATAAAAAACAGCATAATGACAATAATTACAATAATACCTCATTAAGAAAAAGAATAAGAGACAAGGGAGAATAAATAGCAGACAGGTGTACAACACACCACAATTATGGAACCTGAAATTAGTTCAATGCCTCGAGGCAAACAGGAGAGAAGGGGAAGTGTGTGCGCGTGTGTGTGTGTGTATGGGGGGGGGGTTTCAGAGCTGGAAGTGAGACTGATAGAGGCTCCCTGGCAAAAAAGGAATTGAAATGAGCAAACAAAAATGTCTTAAATGTGTAAATTAGAGAGAGAAATAAGAGGGAAAAGCAGCTTTTCCCTGCAGACTGGAGCCTTAGATGAGAAGAGAGCAGCGAAACGTGATCAAGGGAAGCCATGGAGCGGTGCGGCAGGCGTCAAGATGAGCACTCAGCCAGCGAGTGGCAGCTTCTCCTTTTCCAGTCAATCATTCATTACAGAGCCAAGTGCTGCGGAGGAGTGCCTCCTCTTTTTGACCTATCATATTACAGCCTCTGTAAACTCCTAATCCTCCCTTCGTTAGACGGTGTCAACAGCCGACATGCTCTCGCTCTGCTACCGAAACTCCCCGCTCAGATGCATCCAAAGCCCTGCCAAGACCGCAGAACTGACACTAATAAAATCATTTGAAATTTAACAAGGTAGAACGGTACAACTTCATCTGTTTTTACTCGACTTTCATCTACCCTTTTGGCATGTTTTTCTTCATCATTAGAAAAATACTCCCCCCAGAACTTCCCTTCATTAAAATTCACATTCGGTCCTGGGCCAGTTCACCGGAGCTACCACTAAGAAACCTCTGACTCTCACTCCTCCATCTTTTACTGACTGGCGTGTGTGTTTTCTGTGCCTTCAGGCTGTTCATGAGTAGGTGAAAGCCTGGAGGCAGGAACCTGCACATCAGCACTTCTTCGCCCGTCATGACTCTTTCATGGGGACCCCGTCTCCTGAGTTTCCCTAATAGAGCCCAGCGAGATGACAACTATAATGAGTCCAACAGATGAAAGCCCAGCAGGACAAAGCAACATTGAGATAAATCTACACACACACAAACACACACACACACACACAAGGGCAGCAATCTGGGACTCACTGTGTGAATGTTATTTAGGAAAACAAAAGAATCGGATCCAGACTGAAAGACCAGATGAAGCGACTGTGTTTTGGCAGAACTTCAAAAAGGAGTTTTGGAGGTGCTCAAAATGATATTTTTAACCCAAACAGAAAACAACCAAGCTCATCACATCAAAAATATTTCACATAAGAGCACAGATTTTTTTCTATCAAAAAGTTAAAATAAATCAGATCTGATGCATTTTAGCAGGATCTGATTTTAAGCTGACAGATACCAGACAGTCGATTCTCAAAGAAATGACAGCTTTGATTCAGGTTTGCGCAGAGTTTAGCTGAATGGGACACCATCACCACAAAAGTCATTTGAATAACTGAAGTAGTTTATATTTGTTAATCTATTAATGGAATTTTCAGAGCATATAAAGCTCTGAAAATGTCCTAATTTAATGTGGATATTTATGCTAATTAGCATGATAAAGTTTGTCACACCTACCACATAACACGTTTTAAAGGATGCAAATAACCAAATGAAATAAGCAATTGCCATCCTGCCCCATACACCCCACGTTTTTAGGTGCAGATGATGGAAATGAGGTAGATTTGACTGTGACATGCTCCCCCGTCTGTGGCTTTGCTAGTAACAGGCTAATATTCAGCAAGGCTCACCACCACCAGAACTAATGAAAGTAGACAAAATGTCTCTGCTGCCATCTCTGTCTAGCATCCGCTCAGGGCGAGCCTTCCTCTTCCCTCCTCTCCGTTTCGTCATACCCCGCTTTTCCCCCTCGCTTTTGAAGGGGAGGATGA